GGGCGGGCCCGGGGCTCCGCGCTGCTCCGGTAAGGCGGGGGAAAGTCCCAGCGCTGGGCTCGGGGATGGTTTGGGATGGGGAAGGGAGGTAGGGGTGCCTCAAGGACGTGACCCCAGCCAGGCAAATCTCAGCAGCTCAGCAAAGGCCACGCAGCGTGGGAAGAGCATTTAACAATTCCTGCCGTTGTGCGAGGTTTCCGGCCGGGGACCCCTCAGACAAGTCAGTCGCTAGCTGTGCTGACAGAAGGAAAAAAAAATTCAGCTGCCTTACGCAGGGTGTATGGGGCAAGGAGGGCAATGGGAGACGCCCTCCTTCCATCCCCCCTTCTCTGGCCTGCAAGGACACTGTGTCCTTCTCTCTCCCATCCCCTGTGGCTACAGAACATTGTCTTAAGCTAAATCTTCAGCAAATCTTTCCTAAGCAGAATTAGAAGCTGTTTGGTTACACTCCAGGCTGTTCCGATAGGGCTGAAGCTTAGCTTATCTCAGTTACAGTGTACCCAAAGCTCCTGAGTTTTACTTTTTTCCAAGTGACTGTTCAGCCGCAAAGCATACTTCCTGGTAAGCCACCCCTGATTCTGTCACATTGGCTCAAATAAAAGGCTGAAATGATTCTCACAGATTTCCCTGGTACAAGGCCACAGAGGAACGGCTTACACCATGGCAGAGAAGATTGAGGGATCAGGTCTTCCACAGAACATATAAACAAGTGAAAAGCACTGGTTTAAACAAATAAATGGTGTTTGGGGTTATCACTAGTGTGTTCTTTCATTAGTGCTCTTGACATTTACCAGAAATGGAAGGGGAATCCTGTCTTACATGAGGTTGTTTGAAATCAAAGCAAAGGCTCCAAGAACTATAGTCACATGGGATCTACCTAATGCAACTAATGCAAAAATGCTGGGTGTGTTTCCTCACTACACCTGGGAAGGCTATTGTGTGATTTGGTCTAGCAGGACCTGGCACTACCCAGCCTGATATTTCATATTCCTCTGAAGATGGAGTGAGAGAAAACAGGTGAGACAATACTCTTCAGGCACCCAAAGGTCTCACTGACCTAGAGAACAACTCAAATATTCTCTACAAAGTAACAACTTCCTCCAGAAAGTCAGAGTCAACAAACTCTTGGGACTGGTGTCCTGCCTGGAAATAGGAATTGCTATCAATATAATAAAAATATAATAAGAGGAAAACTTAAAACAAAGCCAAGAGAATAGTTTTGCTCATCATTTTCCTGTCCCAAAATTTTTTTTTCCCCCCCCCCCCCCCAACTTATATATACACTATGGCTGCCTCTTTCCCAAAAGCTTTTACTGTCTCTGTATCAAAAGAGGATTATTTGGTGCATTGAGTATTCAACATGTTCTCTTACAGTATTGTTATGTTCAATGAGCTTTGCTCATCTGAATGGACACTCACTGCATAGTCCACTGGTTTAATTTGCTGCTTTGGAAACCTAAGCAGGTTACAGCATATTTAGCTATGTGTCTATTCTTATGTGTCAAAGATAAGGTTTCTGGATGCCATTTTTAAAAACAAAATTATTTCACTTCAGTAGTTTTCTCTTTTCAGCGGTCTCTTCTTTTTAGTCTTGGATATTTCAACGCACCTTCTCCCTGCAATGAACAAAGCCTGGATCTTCACCCCAAATCAGCAAAGCTCCATTGAACAAGAATTTCTATTTCATCTTCCAGTAAGGACTTTTTCTGAGCTGTTAACAATTTTAGCATGTCCAATCCTCACTTTTTCCCTCCCCCTCTTCCAACAGTTGTCTTTAAAGTACTATTTGGATTTTTTTAAACTATAATACTCTTCTCATGAAGAAAATAGAAACTAGTCAATCAAGGGAGGGTATGAAGGAGAACAGAAATTCACAACGCACATGGTGTAAAAAGAGAGTCTCCCATTTGCAAGCACTAGACAAAACAAAAAAATTATGGTGGTGGCGAAGATGGGGAAACTAATTTGGACTACCTATTAGTTTAGGAAGACATCACATGAAGCTGAGAGATCTAGAAAGCAGAGAGAAGTGTCCATGTTGCTCACGTAACAGCTGCCACAGAAACGAGCTAATGGGTTCCCCCTGTGTGCTCCAAGTGTGCTGTGGGTGTGGGTTAACTACAGTATTCAACTAAACACTGCGCAGCTGCTCACTCACTCCCCTCCACACCTCACTCCAGTGGAATGGGGAAGAGGAAAGGACAAGTCAAAATGAGAAAACTTTGGGATTGAGAGAAAAATTGTTAATAACTGAAGGAGCAGTAGAAGGTGAGACAAAGAAAACAGAACAAGTGGTGCAAAGGCAATCACTCACCACCTCCCACAGGTAGACCAATAGCCAGCTGGTTCCCAAGCAAAAGACAGCTTACCTAACTAAAATCCCCCTTTTTCCCTTTTTAATGCTGAGCATGATGTTATATAGCACGGAATATCTCGTTCGTTAGCTCAGGTCATCCACTTGGTTGTGTCCCATCCCAACCTCTTCCACACCCCTCAATCTATGTATTGGGGGAGCAGAGTGAGAAACAGAGAATGCACTCATCCTGTGCAAACACTGTTCAGATAGCTAAAACGTCAGTGTGTTAACAGCATTGTTTTGGTCACAAATCTAAAACACTGAAACATATGAGCTGATATAAAGGAAATTAACTCTACCCCAGACAGGCCAGTACAAAATGCCATTACCTAGTGCAAAAGGAGCTGTATGTGCCAACTGCCTACAGTGAATACTTCATTTCTATTTGTGATTCTACAGCAAAAACTCACTTCAGAGTTCCATGAGCTGGTGAAGATAATCAGACCCTACTCTGAGTTCTTCTCATGCTACCGGCAAACTTCTTTCCACATATCCTGTTGTGCTGCCCTCCTTGAGGATGCAGAATGTATTCTTGTCAAGGTTTTGCAGACTTCATTGTTTATTACAGGCTAAAAATGGATTAAACTTGCTTTGTGAGCATTGTATTGATATTCTGGTGCTCTCCCAGTCTCTTGTGAAATGTATTTCCTCTTTCTCCTCTGCAAACAATATCACAGTAAGTAGTGATCTTATTTAGACTGTGCTTTGTGTTGGTTGCAGAGATATCCAGCTCCTAAGCACCAACGATATTAATTTGCTGTTGGTATCCCTTAACACATGGGTGGGTGTCTCACTGCTCACAAAGCGGGATGCGCGATATGAAGGGCTGTGTGGCCAGACAAATACCAGGCTGTTTTGAGGGACAGTGGGAAGAAGTCTGGGAGCGGGCTCAAGGGTCAGGGCTAAGAGGCAAGGAGCTAGCAGAGACTGCTTCCACTATCCCCAATGCAGAATTAAAGGTTTACGGTCAAGGCTTGAGCAGGGGTTGGGGAGAAGGCTGGAACCCCCTGCCAAGATAAGCAAAAGTGTTGGCAGGTCCCAGCAGAGTGGGAACAAACAGTTGGGAATTGTGGGTCTTTTTTTCTGAAAGGAGTTTCTGATAGCTGGTTCCTCTGCATTAAACTGAATCATCCTCAGTGCAGCTCTAGAAGCCTGAAAGACTCTGAAGTCACTAAACTTGCCAAGTAGGTGCTTCTCCATCCTTCCACTGCTCCCAAATTTATCTTTAGAGATAAATCCCTTTCTAGCATCAAACTAACAAAGGAAGAGGTGCCACAGCTTCAAAATTAAACTTCAGCTGTCCTAGGCACTCACCTTTTAGGATACTTGTTCTGAGCACTGTGAGCTTCTGGGGATTACAGAATGAGATTTTCAATCTCCTGAGATCTAGCTTTCTGATTAGCCTTTTTACTGTTTTTCCTACTGGTCTTTGGTAGGAAGCAGATGTCTTGTGAAAAAGAAATAATAGCAGTTTGTCTCTCATTGAAGATTAAAATAAGACAGCAACCACTGTAAGGTCAGTTCTAGGAAAATGTAGTGGGCAGAAAGAACTGTAATAACTGATTGTTTCCTACTGTCATTGATATGGAGGTTCCTGGCCAAGGCTAACTGATGCAAAATTAATGATTTGATCCATTGAATTCATGAGCAATTAGAACAGGCCAGGCATTTGGCTTCAGGTATTTGTCTAAATATTCTCGCCTGTTAACAGAAAGGGGTAACTTTTGACTCTACAGGTGTAATCTTCCTGTTATCTTAGACACTATCTTCGACATGGGATTCATTTCCTTCTGAAATTAGCTCTCTCTGTGTTGACTGTAAGGGGAACCAAATCAGCAGCTTAGACTGAATTCCTAAATTTTAGAGGGATGAAGCTAGAAGAGTTGAATACTTTCCTCTAGAGCTTGCTGAGGTGCACAGAAGAGCAAGCAAATGAACCCGTATCTGCTGATTTTCCCATCTTAGTCACAAATCCATCCTCTTTATTAGCAGTCTTTCATATTCACTATTGTTACTATTGTCTGGT